AGGCAGCAGGTTCTCTCCCATTTCCCGAGCCCTTCTACAAAAGATGCTTGAGCAACATTTTTTATCCCAGTCAAAATAATGTGATTATGCGGCCAAGAGAGACAGGAAATGACCAACAGTCACAACTAAGAGGATGGAAACTGACATGATATTTTTAAGCCTTGCAAAGTTGTTCCCCTTAAAAGTGTCCGTATAAACAATGATCCCATTGCCACGTGAGCTCAAGAGGGGGGGCAGAGCAGAGAATGGGAAAGGAGAGGTGGTGATTTGCCCCCAGCCACGCAGCAGGGTGGTAGCAAAGCTGGGATTTGAAGACATGTGTTGGGACTAACCTCTTCGCTTCAGTTGCATGAGCTGAAGGAGACAGCCTTGTAACACTGAGCATGAACCGTGTTTCTCCTTTTAGGCCATACTGTGACAGTGCCACGGTTCTTCATTTAGAGTCAGCTGACGTGTTTTTAGAAGGTGTTAAACTAGATGCATGCTAAAACAATAGGTCAAGTGGTGCTTGCTCCTACCCTGGGGGTCTTCAAAAGGAGGCTAGATAATCACCTAGCCGGGGTCATTTGACCCCAGCGCTCTTTCCTGCCCACGGCAGGGGGTCAGACTTGATGATCTGCTCAGGTCCCTTCTGACCCTACCAACTATGAAGCTGTTTTAAAATATTAGTTTACATGTGGTCAGACATGAGCCCCAGACATGTCCACAGGCCTTGGACAATTCTAAGGTCCAGTGTACATACTGTTTTTCTATGACTATGATTTAACATAGTTAAAGTAGTACCTTAGTGTGAACAAGCAGATGCCTTTATACCGTGTATTCATAGATTTTTAAGACCAGAAGGGATCGTTAGATTGTGTATGAACTCCTATACAACACAGGCAGCAGAATTTCACCCAATGACTCCCAAAATGGAGCCCAATAACTTGCATTTGCCTAAATCTATGCAACTGCATCCACATTAAGGCCTTTACCAACCTAACCATAGGAGGGTAGGGGGAAAACCCATAAACACAGCCCTGACCAAAATAGCGTATTCAGTACAAAAGGGCTGTAGATCAGGCCTTCGTGTGCATTTGGAAAAAATATATTTGGAAATGTTGTTTTTCCCCTGCCCCTCTTGGTGATACTTTAAAACACTGTCTATAGGAGGTGAAGGATGTTTTTTGTCTGGGAAGCAATCAAGACTGCGTAGAAAAGAGTGGAGTAGAATCTGGGCAGGTAATTACCCAAGCAGTAGCAGCTACAATATGTTAATTCACTAGATCGGTCTGAAACAGAGCACAGTGCGGGCCCATGGAAAACGTGAAAAGAAGACTGTTCAGGAAAAATCTGTGGAGGCCTTGTATGAAACAGCCTTTTGGAGTCAAAACAAGGACAGACTTCGCACAGCCATCGTCGTTTTCAGAAAAGAATTAACACCAAACTCCCCTCATCTCCTTCCCTTGGTACACTGGACTGTAAACGGCAGAGGCAAGGGCAATGACTCAGAACTGAACGCTGACATTTTGTCCCTGTTACGGCACCACCGATGGTGCGCGACATCACACAGCAAGCGTGCAGGCTGCAGAAGGGCAGAATGGGGTGCACCGAGGATGGAGTAATCCCGAGCTTCACACCGCTTCGTTTTCATGGTATTCAGTTTTAGGGTGGCTTCTTTTTTTAACTTTGCTTTTAGTCTGGGAATTTCAGAGGCCTAAGGGAATTAGGTGCAAGTTTCTCTGGGCACTGTGCAATTCCTTTAGCCAAAGAAAAGGGGGAGAAGGAGGCTGGGACTTTCAAACAGTACAGCAAGGAAGGTGTGAGGATATCTTGTTGCACAGTGCATTTACAACGGGAACACAACCTGCCCTGAAGGCTGGCACTGCCTACTTCATGGACCCCTGGCAAATTATTGTGAGCGCTTCTGTTTTTCTGGTGACCCAAACGCACTGAGCTGTAAATCAGTACAGACCTCGTAGAATGACGAGGCTTGAAGGTCCTGAATTGGGCTTTCCAATTCGGTGGCTGTGCTTCAGAAATGAGGAATAGACTGGCCTCTCTGTTTTGGGAAAAGGCAGTCCTTACCCAAAGGTTTTCTAGCCCCAGTATTGTGAAGGCTGGGCATTTGCAACTTAGGCCGGCCTTCCCCAGCAAATCTTTAGCAGGCCACTACTACCGTCCAAGGGTGAAGCAACGGCCTCTAGCAAAAAAGGACTAGGACGGTGGGGTTCCAAACCCAGGGTTCGCAAGCCCCAGGTTGTCCACAGGACACTCAGATGTTGCTCATGAAATTAAAAAGTTAGAAGTGAGGAGGACAGCAAGAGGACAGCCTGATGTTGCCCGCAGCCAGTTACTAGCTCAGCTCTATTGCTGCCCAGGGGTCAGCGAAGGCCAAGGACCACTGCTCCAGGGTTTCTGACCAAAGCCCTCATGTGCAGAGAATTGAGCAAGAAAACTCAGAAATACTAGTCCTGCCTGGTGAAGGAGCTACACAGTTAAGGCCTTTTCTGCAGAGGAAAAGTTTACAAGCTGTACCAGCAGAAATCCCCATGGAGACACTCCAAAGTAAGACTTACTACAGGTTCTCTCAAACCTCTTCCCAAGAGGCCTAAACTAAACCAACACATGGTCTGCATGCTAGACAACAGATGTCCATGCAAGGCAGAGCTTCTATAACTTGAACTCTATTCATACCTTCATTTATATACCCCAAAAAGGCCCTTGTTAAACATGAGCAAACCTGCACAGAACACATGAACGATGCACCATTACAAACTTTATGTACAGCTGGCATGCTTAGTATTAGTTCTTGGGGAGAGGAAATGGGCTGAAGTGGACAGTGCTGAGGCCTGGGAGATGGAAGGGATAGGTCTTTTAAATTGATCTGCTTGCAGTCTATTGAAAAGGCCTGGGGCACAGTGCCTCAGTTCCCCCATCTGTAGCATTATGATAGTCTATAGAGCAAAGTATTGTACTTCATGTTTTGGGGTAGCCTGAGGTTGTGAAAAAGAATGCTTCAGCAAAGGCTTCAGCATGAAAAGGATGCAAAGAGCTTTAAAGGTGAAATCAAATGGGGTTAATATAATGCAGAGGGGACAAGGGAAAGTGGATGAGGCACTGCAGCATTTGGGAGACTGTGTGGGAGTAAAATAAGGCCAGGGATGACAGTGCCCGTAAGAAGGCTCCCAAGGAGTGGCCTGTATGAAAACGTCTTTATTATGGGACTTATGCTGCCTCCATTGTCATTGTTCCAGCCACTTCTGCAACCTTTAATATAATATCACCTATGATTTAAAACTGCCCAAGACTTCCCATTCT